ACGACTGCTAACCATAATACTACCAACACTCATGCTCGTGCACATTGCTGCTACTAGCCATAATACTACCAACACTCATACTCGTGCACATTGCTGCCACTCACCTCATTAAGCATAGTAGTCCAAATCGTAGTACAAATAATATTGCAAAACTACTACTACAAATCCTCATATCAATAAACTCACTAACGCTACAAATGGTACGAATCAGTTTGCTCATAATGCGACGAGATAGGAATAGTAATACGGCGAACAGTGAACATGCAAAAGAATTCAAAGAAGAGGGCACAATGACAACCAGGGAGACAAACATGGCCCCAGCCATGATCCCCCCAAAAGCCGCCAACCCCTCCTGGACGCCCCCGAAGAGCGTGGAGTGCAGAGGGGGCCCAAGTCCTTGGGGGGCGGGAGGGGATCCGCACTACCTATCGGCATCTGGGCGGTCTGCGGTGGTCTCCAGCGCGAGAGCTGGGACAGCTGAGAGGGGAACTCGAAACGCGCGCTCCCCGATTCGCAAATGAACTACTCGCAGGTGGCCTGCTTTGTTTTTTTGTTTCCCGAAAAATCCATGCGCGCACCCGCCCCGCCAACGGCCTGCCAGCGCCAACGGCCTGCATAGGCCGGCAGCCGCCCAGGCCCACGCCCGTACACCGGCCGAATAAGGGCAGACATGTGTGTTTGCTTTCCAGACGTTTGCGAACAGGCACTTTGCGAGTCGTGGGGCGCGCTCGGCGGGGAAGAGTGAGGGAGGGATGCGGCGCGAAACCGGGGCGGGGGAGAGTACTGGAAGAGAGGGGGGGGAGGAAGGGGAGGGGAAGGGGCGGGGAAGGCGAGGGGAAAGCGGCGGAAAGCGGGAAGGGGGGGAGGAGAGGGCGATCCTCCCTCGTGGTCATCTTCCTCGTGCAGGCGCTGCTGATCTGCTCTAAAGCAGGCTGTGGCTCTCTGCTCCGCTCCTGCTGCTGCTGCCGCTCCCGATGTTTCTGCGCCTCCTCCTCCTCCTCCTCCACCTCCTCCTACTCTTCCTCCTCGTTTTCCCCCTCATGTTCTTCCTTCTCCTCCTCATCGTCCCCTAATCCTCCTCCCATTCCTGACGCCACTAATCGTCATCCTGCGCAACTCCCCCTCCTCCTCCTCCTCCTCCTCCACCTCCTCCTACTCTTCCTCCTTGTCGTCCTCCTCTTCTTCATCCTCCACCTCCTCATCGTCCTCTAATCCTCCTCCAATTCCTTCCGCCACTAATAATCCTCTTACGCAACTCCTCCTCCTACGAAACTCCTGATCCTACTACTTCCTCCTCCACCTCCTCCTCCTCGTCCTCCTCCTCCTCCTCTTCCCCTCCTCCTCCTCCTCCTCCTCCGCCTCCTCCTCCTCCTCCGCCTCCTCCTCCTCCTCCGCCTCCACCTCCTCCTCTTCCCCCTCCTCTCCACATCATGCTCGTCCAGCTTCTCCAAGCGAGGAGGACACTCAACAATCCGATCCACCTCTTACAAGCTCCTCCTCCACCTCTCTCACTGTTGGGCTCCGACCTCTCGACACACAGAATTTCGCGCATGGGATTATTCCCCCCCCCCCCGCTCTGGACCTAGAACGGACACCCAGACAACTTGCAGCTAGAAGAGCGCAGCCCTTCTGTTCTCGGGATGCCGAAGCCCGCGTGGCCGTCGCGCTGGGAAGAAACAGCAGCCGTCTCAACTTGGCGGCGCTCAAAAGGGGGTGGGGGGAGGGGGGAGGTCTTCTTAGAAGGAGGCTGCTTCTCAGAAGGCGCCGGCCTGACATCTACAGATAAGGCCCGCGCCTTCTAAGAAGCACGGATGCTTCTAAGTCCTCCCCCCTCCCCCGCACCCCCCTCTGCGCGCGGCTGATCAACTCGTTCGAAGCAACTGCTCGACGATCCTACGATCCGAAATGGTACGCCGCTTCGGCTACCGCTTCGGCGCCTCTGCGCTCGGGCCTGCGCGGGCGGAGCCGCATTCTCTCTGCTCCTGCGGCCAGCCTCGCAGAGACGACACGCAGGCCTCGAATCCGCGCGGGCATCACAAGGTCCAGGAGGGGCAACGATCGGGGGGACTGGCATAGGGGGGGACGCATCGGCCTGGAGTCGGCGACACGTCGCCGATAGATCGGCGATAGGCCTCCGATAGTGAATCCGCACCTTCCTGGGCAGGCTGGGGCCATCGGAGCCCTATCGGCGATCACTGGGCGATGGGGGTCCGATGCATCCCCCCCGATGCCTATCCTCCCCTATCGTTGCCCCTGAGTCCAGTAAACTGCAATGCGCCGAAGGCGCGTGTGTCCAGCGGTCTCCTCAGACCTCCCACGCTGAGCGATCGCCGGCACCGCGACGAGAACGCGCGCGGCCTCCATCCATGTAGCACCGCTTCATCCCGACGACAGTCGGCACGCTGCCAGAAGGAACGCCAAGGAAGAAGCGAGAGGGCTTCCGGGGCCACGGCGAGCCTCGACCAGGAACGGGCTCCCCCGAACTGCATCGAAGGGACGGCCCGAAAGCTCGAGCCCCCCCCTCCGGAGCCCCTAAAATGGTCCCTGACTCGCCGTCTTGGCTGTGCTGGCAGCCGATGTGCCGTCATGGCACGGCTTGTGACCCCACCCGATGCTCACATCTCAGGAGCAAATTGCTCAAACCTCGCGCTCCGCGCCGCGCGACGCGCGCTCGCCTCCGCGCTCTGTGAGCCCAGCCCACCCCCCCCAGAGAAACCACCTGCGCCTCTGCGCGTGGATTTGGAAGCGCAGCCGAAACTGCGACCGGAACACCAACGGAGTGAGAAACATCGGGGATCTCTGAGTTCTGGCGGTTCGACAAGAAACCTTCCACGAGAAACCAAACCCCGAGGCCCCCGCGGCCGCTCCAGAGAGGGCTCCGACAACTCCGAGAGCGTTCCCGAGCCCTCTGGAGCGATCTATTTCCGGTGCTGGGCCCGCCCGATGGGGGGGGGGAGGAGGAGAAGGAGGAGGAGGGGGGGGGGAGGAGGGATGAGGAGAGATGAGGGAGGAGGAGGGAGAGGATGAGGAGGAGAGGAGGAGGAGGAGGAGGGAGGAGGGAGGGAGGAGAAGGAGGAGGAGGATGAGGAGGAGGAGGGGGAGTAGGAGGAGGAGGAGGAGGAGGAAAGAAGAATAAGGAAAGAAAAAAAAAAGCAAAAAAGAAGTTAAAGAAAAGAAAAAAAAAAAAAAAAAAAAAAGAATAAAGGATAATAACCTCCTGAATCAAAAAAAGAAAGCCGCCAGTGCCCCGCGCCGCCGCGCGCCCCCGCGGCAAGGCCGGCCGCGCCACACGCTCGGGGAGCGCTCCGACCCCTGAGCCGCCCGCCCCGTCCTTCTTTTCCTTCGGCCGCGTCCCTCCCGACTACCTACCAGACCACCCCAACCCGAAGACCCGAATTTCGGGTGGGGGGGGGGTCCAGGCTCCATGTGCTTCCTCAAGGTTTCCCGAACCCCCCAACTGGAAATGGAGGGCAAATTGAAGCCTTCGGGTTGGGTTGGGGTGATCAGATGGGTGACCTCCTCCCTCCTCCTTCTCCTCCTCCTCCTCCTCCTCCTCCTGCATGGTGCGGCCCAACGGTGCCCCCGTTCATGCCTTCATCGCCAGCGCAGTCACCCTCTGCCTAGCCGCCGACGCCGAAAATTAGCAGGACCGCCTAAGGCTTGTGACCCGCATCCCGTGGTTGGAGGCTGCCCAAATTAGGCCGGAGATGAGGACGTCGGAGGATCTCACCACATCGAACGATGCATCGGAGATGCCGCAGCGCGATCCTCCGACTACAGTCGAGGTTGATTGGAGAGGACACGCGAGAGGAGACAAGACCCTTCTGAGGGCCACATTGCCATAGTAATGTAGAAGGCATGGGTCGCCAAACACATGACGCAAGAACACCCTTGATTTGGCAGGGTCGACCTACCGATCCGCCTCGACTGTATACCTGCAGCATGTCTCTGGATGTCCTGGGAGGCCCCCGAAGCCATCCGGTTGAGAGAAGCATAAACAGCTGCAAGAAGGTTAAACTTTCGGAGATCCGCGTGGATTACTTGGATCGGGGCTGAGATCCCCAAACGCTTGCGTTTCTGATGCAATTGTGCCTCATTCGGCCGAGGCTCAAGACCAAACCAGAATCCTCGGACCTCGATCGCGTTCCATCTCCGGGTTCCATCCCCATGTAAGCGATAATCAGAAACGGGTCTTTCGCGAGATGACGTAGCGACATTTCGCCGAGGTTCACGCGGGCCGCCGGCGCGGCACGCTACATTGGAGACGAGGGCGCTCACGCGCGACCTTACGCGCGAATGTCGGCGCAGATGACCCCGTTGTTCAGCGTCGCCCATGTTAGAAGAAGAACAAAAACGATAAATATAAACTTTGGGCGCTCCGCGCGGATTTCTTGGATCTGCGCTGGGCCCCCCCCTGGCCGCACCTCCGGCGCCGCCCCTGGCGCGCTCCGCGCGCCAGGGAGGGGGGCCCAGCGCAGACCCAAGAAATCCGCGCAGAGCGCCAAAAGTTTTATGTTTATGGCGCGTGTTCTTCTTCGACATGTGGACGACCGCCGCCGCGCGGCGGCGCCGCGGCGGCGGGTGTCATGCCCGTCGCCGCCGCCGCCGTCGCCGCCAGCCTTGTCGTCGCCGTCGCCGCCGACGCCGTCCTCGCCGCGGTCATCGCCGCCGCCGCCGCCGCCGTCGCGTCGCCGCCGTCGTCGTCGACGCCGTCGTCCTCGGCGCCCTCGCCGCCGCCGTCATCGCCGCTGGTGGGCCCGAGCGGGGCGGGGCGCGTCGCTGGCCCTGGCCTCGCCGATGCCGCCGGCAATCGCCTGGCGAATTGTTCGACAGCACGGCAGTGCGGGCCACCGCAGCGCTGCTTCGGGCCACGGGACGGGCCGACAAAGAAACGCGGGCTAGGCAAGGGGCCGAGGAGAAACTCTAGGGGGGGGACTGGCTCAGGGGGGTTCGCACCGAGCTGGAATCGGCGACACATCGCCGATGGATCGGCGATATGCCTCCGATGGCGAATCCGCACGCGCCTGGGCGGGGTAGGCTATCTGAATCAGGCCCCCGTGATGGGTGGGCGACTCGGGGTCGTTGCATCCCCCCCTGAGCCTCCCCCCCCCTCCTCTATCGTTGCCTCTTGGCTTTCGGGCCAAAGCTCTGCTCTCCGGCGGCCGTTCGGGACGATCCTGGCACCCCTGGGACACCCTCGACGAGGCGCAGCTGCTGGAGCACACCAAGGCTGGGAAACCGCCGAGAACAGAGGAAGCAAAGAAAACTGCAGAAAATCCACCGCCCTGTGCCCCTCCTAACGTTGCCTCTCGCCCGAGGTGCGGGAGGGCCCGCCTCGACGGACTCGGTGCACTCCGCTTTGAGCTTCGCCGCCTCCTCGCGCGGCCGCCAGCGGGAAGGAGGGGGGGACGCGCGAGGCGGCGATGCGGGAGGAAACTCCTCCTCCTCCTCCTCCTCCTCCTCCTCCTCGTCCGGCTTCTCCCCCGATATCTCCTCCCCTCAATTCCTTTTCGTCCTACTCCTCTCACCAGCTCTCGTCTTCCGTCCCCTTCTGCCCCCCCTCTCCCCGTTCCTTCCCTCATTTCCCTGCTCCCCCCTGGTTCCTGATTGCGCCCCCCTCATCACCCCCACCTCCTCGATATCCTTCCCTAGAGGCCTCCTAGATGGATTCGGGGCAGATGGGGTTAGAGATGGGGTTAGAGCACCGCGCCGCATCGTCGATGCACTGGCGATGTCGGCGCGGAGAAAATCGGGTTCCACATAGAGCCGAACCGCCGATACATCGGCGATGCGGCGAAATCCTCCGACCCCACCCACTCGGATCCCATCTGGGAGACCTAGATTTCCTCTCTCCGCTCCCGCCTTCCGAATTTCTCCGGCCCCTGCCTCCCAAGAGGACTCCGAGAAACTCTCGAAAGACATCCGAAGCGACTCCGAGAGGCATCCGAGAGGCCTCCGGCCTTTCTCCTCGCCCTCCTACTGCTCTTCCTCCTCCTCCTCCTCCTCCTCCTCCTCCTCCTCTTCCTCCTTTTCCTCCTCTTCCTCCCCTGCTTCATCCGCCTACTCCTCGTCCTTCCTCCTTCCTCCCTCCTGTCGCCCACTGCCACCTCCTCCTCCTCCGTTTCCCCCCCTCCTCCTCATCATCGTTCTCCTCCGATTCCTCCTCCATGCTCCCCCTCTTGGGGTGTAACGTCTTACCCAGCCTATGTATAAAAAAAAGCCTGGGTGAGACGTGCAACCACATCCCCACGCAAATCAACGGCTATGAAGTTTATTGGGACGCACGCTCATCCAAATCCCTGATCAGGGCAACACTGCCAACTCGTCGGGGCACCGTTTCTGGATGGACTGGTGCGGTTTTTCCGTCGCGGCCGCAAGCGGAAGCGCAGGTGCAGGCGGCGTCCGAAGTCAGCCTGCGCTACGAGCCACATCTAGTTACCCAGGCGCGCGAATCAACGGCCGCCGGAACTGCCGCCGAGGAGCGACGCCGGGGACTGAAGGCAGAGCTGCGGCTGGCGAGGTTACTTCTTTTTGGTCTGCGGGCTCGCGAAGCACCTCGGAAGCCGTCCGAACACTAGTCGGGCCGCGACTAGGCAGCAAGAAAAGAGAGGCAAGCGAAGCGAACGCGCGGGCAGCCACCCAGAAAAAGAGCCAGAAACGAAACTCCCAACCCGGTGGCGTGGAGATCCCAGTGACGGCCAGCAAGTAAGCGCAGCTAAAATGGCGCGGCGGCGCGGCCATAAACACGCAGAGGTCAATCACTCGGCGTGAGTCGGCACAAGGGACCGTCAGAGACGAGCAGGACCGACGGGCACACCCGGACGACGTCCGTGCCGTAGGCTACAAAACTACATCGTGTCAGCGCAAGAGTGAAAAGGGGCAACCTCGTCACAGATAGGACTGCACACGGCAGTACCTCTTGTTTGTACAGCAGTGTCCTTGCAGGAAAAAGCAGCCGACGGGCGCACCGAGTCACACATGCCGAGGTCGGCAGCGTGCGTCGGCAGCGTGCGAGACCCCACTGAACCTTGCGGGTCACCAGTGGAGGCCGACACCAGCCAGGAGCAGGCCAGGGGCCACCTGACCGCCCATTCCCAATGTGACCCATGCATGGAATTCGTAGCGAGACCCCACTGAACCCCCCGGTCAGCAGTGGAGGCCGACAACAGCCGGGAGCAGGCCAGGGGCCACCTGACCGCGTCGGCCTGAAGCGAAGGTTACGCGAAACGTCTAGAATTTCCTGAGACTTCCCCGAAGACGCACAAACCGTTTCAGAAGGCCGGACGGCATTCGAGAAGTCCCGCCGCCTTCTGGGAGAGCGTTCTCCCTCTCACGTCCCCCCCCACGCGCGACGCCGAAATCAATTTTCGGGTCACGATTCGGGTCTCCGGCGGCCGTTCGAGACGATCCGGGCATCCCCAGAAGGCTCTCGGCAAAACGCAGCCGCTGGAACGCATCTGGAAGCCGGAAGACCGGCAAGAAACCACGAGCTTCCTGGATAACCCTGGAAACCCCGAAAACCTCGAACCTCGAGCTTCCCCGCCTCGCCCGCCGCCCGACGAGGCACGCGTGCGCGGAGTGGGGACCCCCCTTGGGTTAGGTCGGGCATGTCCTCCGACAGGCGGAGTTTGGGACGAAAGATAAAAAAAGGCACCACTAGAAAAATATCCCAAAATAGTCCAGCAGATGTTCAAAAACCGTCCCCCTACTATTTTGTAACCATTTCTGGATATTCCTCCGTAGAGGGACGTGCCCGACCTAACCCTGGGGCCCTCTTTCGGCGATGGACAAACCTCCCTTTAATAAACTTCCCCTTAATGAAGACGGCCTGGGGCCGAAACCGACGGACCTGGACCCGCAAAAATGACGGCCGCGACGCCCTCTCGCGAACCGAAAACGGCCAACTCCTTCATCGACGCGTCAGGGTAGGAGGCCTGTCCACCCCCCGACTTTTTGCAGGCCTCGGAGGCGGGCGCCCGAGGTCCCCGCGGCCGGGGCACCGAGTCCCCGCGGTCTCCGAAGAGGAGGGCCCGAGGCTCGGCGGCCCTCGCTGGCGCCGGGGGGCGAGGGGGGCGCGACGGCTGGGTTCGGCCGGGCCTGACCCTCTGCAGGAGGAGTAGCCAGCCACCGTCCAAGAGTAGTGCGGGGACGACTTCTTTGACTGTGTTTGGTTCTCTGGGAGATCTGTTTGTTACGACTCTCCACGTTTCGTCCAAAGTCCGCCTGCAGGGGGACGTGCCCGACCCGACACTATATGGGAGCGAGCCACGACAAGCTGGGTGCGCTCGCGCCCGAGGTCGCCCCGGCAGGGGGAACCGAGGCCCCCAGGTCTCCGTGGAGGAGGGCCCGAGGCTCGGGGGCCCTCGGTGGCGCCCAGGGCGAGGGGGGCGCGACGAACTGCAGTGGTGCGAGGCGGGGATCTCTCCGCATCCACCGCCTGGGAAACGACGTCCCCCGGTGCCCCAGCGGGCGGCGGGTATGGATATAGTTTGGCCCCCGGGAGCCCGAATACATCCACATCCACCGCCCGCGGGGTCCCCGAAAGGAGGCCATACCACAAGAAGCCTCCCACAATAATCAGGAGGGGCAAAACACTTGCTCGTCAGCGAGGAAGCGGCGAAATCCGCTCCAGCGAGAAGCTATGCATGGGGACTAAATAGCGACTTGGCCTGCGAGCAAAGAGGGAGGGGAACGGCCGAGAGGAAATAGGGGCGCTCAGACGCCGAAGAGTTCGACGATGAGCAGCCCGCCGGGCAACAGCAGCCAGGCGCGCAGGGCCAGAGCGCTGTGGGCGGGAGGGGAGAAAATAGACAGACACAATTAATCGCCGATTCCCCGGACAATATGGGAAAATGAAGACAACGGGGGGGAAGACGAAAACCAAGAAGACTATCGGGAATCCTGGGATTTGCTTGTATTTTTTTGTGTGTCCCTGGGCCCCCTTAAAGAAACCCAGCCCTGAGACCCCAGGACATTCGCTGACTTTTGGTGTGGGAGCGCCACGCTTTCCATCGCAAAACCATCAAAACCCAAGAAACCTAAGACATTTTAGATGGGGGCGCGAAGACAGGGGAACGAACAATCACATAAACAGAATGAAGGAGCTAAGCACCGACGCTTTTTCCGGCCCCGCACCGAAACTCGCACAGGAAAGCGGATCCTGGTGTACACGGGATCCTGGTGTATACAATTTGTTGTTGTTTCCCTGGGGAAGCTGGGAAAAAGTATACACCACACCACCCTGATGTCGTCCCCGACCCTAGACAAATCCTGAGATTGAACAACAGCCCGCCACTGGTAATGTATATGCTCCAGTTTCCGAATAATGACTCGGAGGTCCGCGCGGACTTCTCGGATCCGCGCTGGGGCCGCCTGGCAGCGCCTCCGGCGCCGCCCCTGGCGCGCCCCGCGCGCCAGGGAGGGTCCAGCGCGGAGCCAAGAAATCCGCGCGGACCTCCGAGTTTTCATGTTTATGCAATTTTTCGCTCCCCTGGACAAGCTAGGTGCGCTCGCGTTTCGTCTGAGATCCCACCTCGCCTCGCCCGCGCCCATCTCTTACCAATTTGAGGCAGATCCCTATCCCCGAGTTTGGCCTCACCTCACCTCGATGCCGATCTCACGGAATCCCTCAGCTTTGGGGGCGCATCCCAGAGCTCGCCCTCGCTTTTCGCTCGCCCATCTCAAGGGATAGGGATGAGTTCGAGGCTGGCTTCTCTCGAGCTCCCCCCCCGCTCGCCGCCGACGAGAGCAGCAGCCCTCGAAGGCCTCGCTCGCCGCCGAACCGAGGACGACGCGCGGGCTCCGGCGGAAGCCACGGCCCCGGGGCCGCGGGAGGACGGCGGCGCCCGCCGGCGCCTGCCGGGGCCACCCACGGAGGGCCGCGGGCGCATCCGGGGGCGGGGCCGCGGAGGGCCAGCAGAAACGCGACCGGCCACTCCCACGGTGCAAGGCCACTTCGTGGTGTGCGCCATCGGGAGCAGGGGCGGGAGCTGCGCGCACAGGGGGGGGGAGGAGGAGGTGGCGTGCGAGCAGAAGAGGGAGCGGCAGGACGATGGTGAGGACGAAGAGCAGCAGCAGGAAATGCAGCGGAAGGATGGGGAGGAAAAGGAAGGCCAGGGGAAGGCAGGGGAGGGGGAAATGAGGGGGGCGACAACGACGAAGAAAGACTCGGCTTGAGAAAAGTGGCCCGCGCTGTGGCGAGAGCACCAGCCTGAACGGCGGGAGCCAAGCGCCGATCCGCAAATGAGGCCGACGCTGCAGCGGGAGCACCATCATGCAACACCGCAAGCAATCGGATTGCAGAGAGCCGTCGGGAAGCCGACCTTGTGAAAACCGGTGTGACTGTGCGGACACAGCACGCGGAGGGGGCGGGA